TTTATCTGTAGCAGAATTATAGAATTGTTGCCTTGTTTTTCACTTAAGTGCCATTAAATGTGTTCCTGACTTGCTGTTACCATGGTAATAGACACTTGTCATAGGCTGTGCTCTCATTGCTGTGTTTATTTAAGTTTGGTCACTTGTGGTTTCATAAGCCCAAGAACCGCCTGACTTCCATCCAAGAGATGGAATCAGAGCCAAGAGGTGGATTCCAATGCGGCCATGATGAGGGGTAGATGAGGATTTGGGGGACCGGAGGTTCAGTGATTAAGGGCATACATACTGCTCTTGTGGGGAACTGAAGTTTGGGTCCTCACGCATGTGAGACAGCTCACAACTGCTTGCTGCCTCCCCCGAGACTGTCTAAAAGCTGGTGGTGACTTTGATTGCTTAAAAGAACTGAAATACCAGGAAATGGAACCGTTGTGTGCTCCAAGCAAGTAGCACAGGAATCTTCACAATTACGGATTAGACTAAGGGAACATCGATTTATTGCAAATTGCTCTTCCGTAATACAAACACCCAGCTAGTTTCGATGGCAGATCTGAAAGAACTGGGAGAACTCATTTTGAGGTCCATGCCCCCACTGTAGTCAGCTGGAAGACTCTTTCAGTGGGGAGCATGTGACGATCAGGAGTCCACACGGAGTAGCGGAAGGCTCTGTAGGAGTGCTGACTGTGGAAAATGTTAGCTGTTCTGTCAGGATCCCTATCCATGCCATGGCATTCTTCTCTTGTTCCCTTTCGATGATGGAGTGCTTCATTCATGTGGGTTGATTCAATGTTGGTGGTACCTACAGGGTTCTTTGTGAAAGCAGCTATTGCCCTGGAGAACAACGGTGCAACTTTCAAGTCTTCTCTCTGCTTAAAGTTTATTTTTATTTTATGTATTCATTTATGTGTGGGTGGTATTTGTACATGCTTGTGTGTGTGTGTGTGTTTGTACCAGAGAATGCCCACAAGTATGCACACACATGTGTGTACAAGCCATGCATATGGAGGACAGATGCTGATGTTAGGAGATTTGTTTGATTTTTTGAGATAATGTTGTTCACTGAGCTCGGAGCTTAATGATTTAGCAAGGCTGGATGGCCAGTGGTCCCTAGGAATTTCTGTGTCTCTGTCCTCTGAACCAAGTTTATATACGTGTGCTGCAATACCTGTCTTTTGACAGGACTGTTGGGGATCTAAACCCAGGTCCTCAGGCTTAGGTGACAGGTGCTTTACCGAGTAAACCATCTCCCAAGCTCTGCAACTCCTCATAAATCACTGTCTTGGTTGTAGTAATAAGAGTAGGGGCCCATTTGTTCCATCCTGCCCAGCTAGCTTATACCCCGAAATAACAACACACAAATTGTATTCATTTAAACACTGTCTTGCCCATTAGTTCTAACCTCTTATTGGCTAACTCTTACATATTCGTTTAACCCATCTCCATTAATGTGTATCGCCACTTGACTGTGGCTTACAGGCATGAGTCTACACAGCGTCCATCTTGGGCAGGAGAAGCATGGCGCCTACCACACTGCCTTCTTCCCAGGATTCTGTTCTGTCTACTCCGCCCACTTAAGGGCTGCTCTATCAAAAGGCCAAGGCAATCTTTTTATTTAACCAATGAAAGTAACACATAGACAGAAGACCCTCCTGTACCACTTGGGGTTGCAATTTCTCACTTACAAAATGGGGGCATTACCATGTGCCTCCCTCCCAGAATGCTGGTCTTAAACAAACATGTGGCACAGACTTGTAAACTGCCATGTGTAGCATAGCTATGGGTCGTGATTGTTAGTGACTCCTCTAATTCCTTTTCTCTCTACCAGACTGCCCTGGGGAGCACCTATGTTTTGCCGTCACTCTGTTGGGGGTTTTATTTGAGGGTTTTACTTAAAGGCCTGAGACTGGGAATCGTATCCTGGCTTTCCTTGTGGTGGGGATGCTTGTATAGCTGTTGCTGGGCCCAACATTGCTGATGATTTTCTCAGACCCAGAGACCCTGGCCATCCTCAGCAGGCATTCAATTTGTTAATCATAATATTAACAGGAAACGTGTGGAATCAAGAGCTGTTATTTGGTGATAGTGTTCCTCTGTTAGCTGACAAAAATACTTTAGAAATTAGTGTGTGTGGTGTGTGTGTGTGCTTGCGGTTGTGTCTGCATACGTCTGTGTGCACATTCCATGGGCACGGAGGTGAGAAGAGGGTGGTGGGTGTTCTGCCTTGTGTCCCCACATATTCCCTTGAGACAGTCTCTCTCTGAATCTGACGCTCACTCAGTCGGCTATGCCGGCTGGGATCTGCCTGCCTTTGCTCACCAATTCTGGACGTGTGTGATCATGTCACATGATCATGCTGGCTCTCGGGGGTCAAACTCAGGTTCTCCCATGGACACAGCAAGTGTTCTTACCTGTTGATCAGTCCCCACAGTTCTGCAAACTGCTTGAATAAAGCAAGGGAATTCCAGGTTGACAATGAAGGGCTAGATGTTGGAACTCAAGACTGTTGGAATTATTGGAGTGGGTACCACAGATGGGGAGGGAGCTGAGTAGAGAGATAATAAGGGGGAGAAGATCCATTTGCTTCCAGGTCTCAGGTTTTCCTTTATTTGCTTGCTTGCTTTTTCCCCTTTAGGAAACAAGGCACTATGATGGAAAACACTTTTACTGGTAAATTCATACAATAAGAACACATTTAAAAATTTTTGAGTACAGGCACAAGGTCTGGCTTTTGGCTGCCCCAAATATTACAAGAGAAAAAGGAGGAAAACGATGTCCTTGTCACTTGCGGACAGAACCAGATGGGGTCAGACCTGTGTGCTCTGTGGGTCAGAGAAAACATTTTCTAGTGCCTTCCTTTCAAGTCCCAGATCTTGATTAGAAATCCGGCACTGAGGGAGTTTCTCAGGAAAGACGAGGTTCCTTCAGCTTTTCTGACCTGCCCTGAGAGAGTGAGTGACTGGGAGCCCCTTGGCGGAGGTGGCTGGTGCAGAAGGAATGCTGTGGAGAAGCAGGGCTTTGCTGCCATTGAACACATTATGGGAGAAATACAGTACTGAACACAGCAGGCTTCTGCAAACAAGGCATCCGTTTAAGTTAATTGGTGTTATATAGAAGCTGAAACGCTCCGCTTATTTACAAAGCTCCAGATTTATGTAAAGCAAAACCAATTACACTTAATGCCTAAACTATTCCAGGTGCTCAGCGATAATGTCGCCAGACTCTGGAGAAGGAGCTGCCGTGTGAATGCACCCTGTTCCGAATGGAAGCATGTGCAGTTACTGCAATTTAGCTAATCACAAGTGTCAACGCCAACGTGCGAGTTCTCAGCTCCTCTGCTGCTTGCTTTGGGTCAATTTTCTAATTTCTGCAGATCTTTCATTGCAAAGGAAGAGGGAGAGCGTGACGAACACCCCTTTCTTCCTGTTACAATGTAGAAATTAAGGAGATGAAGGGAAAGTTGGGGAAGGGCCAAGGCCATGCCAGGCCATTTTCTAAAGCAAGAGCAGGCTATGGCTTTTTATTTACACCAAGACGAGGCATTTGGAGCTTTCTTGATCTTTGGGGTGTTCATTATGAGACCAATGCGCTAGATACTGTGCTAACGAGACTCCTTTGGGGTGTTCATTAAGCCCAAAATTGCAAGCTTGGCATTTAACCTTTCACAGCAAGGGAAGTTGTAAGAGCATCGGGCCCTGCCTCACTGCTTTGCCAGGGATTTATGCAAAACAAAGAATCGGAAAAAGTTGTGGGGAAGAATTGCTGTGTGCACATGGACATGTCCTCCAAACAAAAAGGAAGAATTGCTCTGTGCACATGGATGTGTCCTCCGAACAAACCAGTAAATAGCAGATAACTGGAATAGGAAAAACACCTAGTGTTTTACAGCTGGAAGAACATTTTAAAAAGCATATTTGAAACCCAGTCAAGTTGATTACATCTTTTATTCCACAGCTTTAAGCACTGGCTGCATCAAAAGGGGAGGGGTGCTTAGTTACCTTCACTGGCAATGACCTGGTAAAGGCTCTTGTTCAATCTAGGGTAGTCCAGGAGGGGAAGTGGATGGAGGTCGTTGGTGAGGACTTTCAATATCTGAGTACCAGAATGGAAGAACTCAGGTTAGGTTTACCAAGACAGGCATTGTGGGGACAAGAAAGAGTCACCCGGAGCAGGAGACTCAAAACCAAACTTACTGAGATAAACTTGGACAAAGGGACAGGGCATTAATTTTATTCAATAGTAGTAGTAATGATAATAATAATAATAATAATAATAATAATAATAATAATAATAATAATAATAATAATAATAAAAGAAGCCTGGTGCAGAGGCACCTGGCCTGTAATTTCAATTTGTTGGCCATGCTTGGCAACATAGTTAAGTTTGAGGCCAGCCTGGACTGCGTGATACCTTCTCCCAAACCTAACAAGACCAAATGAAACCAAACCAAGCTACCTCTATGATAGTAACATTGCCTTTAAATTCAGAATTTTTTCCTTAATTGAGATATATTTTAAGTGGAATAATAAGCTCAAATGTAGCAGAATTATATATACATTTATTATCTACTTAGAATTGTGTTATCTGTGGTTACAACTCCCTACAATGCAATAAAGAATCAGTGAATGTGCAGAAAGAAAAATATAAACATAGCATTTCTTAGCTGACATTAAAATTATAAGTAAATATTGCTTGTCACTTTCAATTGCTGAACCATTGTAAAGGTCATGCAATATGATTGCCCTGTTGGCATAGAAAAAAAATAATCATGTTCTGGTCATAAAGTAATCACCAAGAGGCTGGAATCACTTAATTAGTTTAGTACATCAATACAAAAGCATAATAGTTTATTAGAGGATCATAACTGTTCCTGGTAAATAAAGTATGTAGATAGCATCCATGGCCGCTTCCTTTTGTGTTGGCTTTCCTGGTAACATGTATAAAGTGTTCAACTGAAGGAGAAAATAATGACCAGCGGCGCTCACCACACGGAGTCAAATCCAGTTTCATAGGGCTGTCTCCCACAGATCAATACTTGACGATGCTTCCAGCATGCTGCCATAAAACTTCAGAGACTTTCCACAGAGAAGAGTTTCTTCATGATTTCTTCCACTGATGCTCTGGGCCTTACAATGATTTAGATTACAATATCTAAAACTGAAAGAAAGCGAACTTTCCTTAGGAGCAGATGTAGGTGACTTGATAAATCACTGGCTTCCCTCCCGTGCTTCCCCACCTTTTATGATGGTGCTGCGAGGGTCATTATTTAAGAGGTAGTCTTTGTACAAGGACAGGGGACTTCTATTTAGTACACAGTAAGGCTCCCATAAGGACCTTTAGAGAGCGCTCTTTTATTATTGAGACACGGTATTGCCCTATAGCCCAAGCTCTCTTGGGACCTGCTTGGAGTCTAGCCTTGTTTGAACTGGGGTAATCCTCTTGACTTAGCTTCTTAAGTGCTGGGATTATAGGGGAGCACACACCATCATGACCAGCAGGATGGTTTTCTTTAACAACCACCTGGAAGTCTTTTCTGTACTGCTAGTGAGAGAAACCCGGAAATTTTATTGGCAGTGGATTTCATGGCTGCTTGGTCTCTAGAGCTCATCAAATGAGCTATAGATTGTACTTTACTGATTAGATGTACTATGAATTTGGTGTTGAGACCATGGCCAAAGAAGGAGTCTGTGACCATGTTTTAAAAATGTCCACCGTCCACTCCTAACATCAGAGAAACTTTCCTTTCCTGAGTATCTTCTCCAGCTATACTACTCTGGGAAGGAGGGATTGTTGCCGTTTTACACACTAGAACACTAAATTTCAAGTGTAAAAAACGTCCTTATGTCTTACATAAGACTTGGACAGAATGAGACTTATTTGAGAATCAAACCTGCCTTAGTGTGAAGTCCCGGATCTGTGCTTGTTCTAATCTCTGGTGTTGGACATTTTCATTCCTCCCTCTTTCTTTCACCAACCTCAAGCTCTCCCTCAATAACCACAGATATATGAATGTTTTGGATTGGACACCAGTCTCATTCCCTTTGTTTTAATGGAGTTTCCTTGGTTTTTTAGTGCCAGGAACACTGCTTAACTGGCTGGCTGAGTGCATGCATGCACAATGAGCGGATAAAGTCAGATTCCCAAGTAAGACTGACTTGGACTCGATCATGCGCATGGTCAACTGGGTCACATCTCAGCATAAGCATGAGAAGAACAAAGCAGAAGGAAGGGGTGCATAATGCCTTTAGTGTTGCGAATACTTTTGAGTATTTACTCAACTTCAAGCACCCTTGCAACACAGTGAGAGGTGAAGAAACGAAGGCATAGCTGGGTTAAGGAGTGTGCTGGTGTTTACATTGCTCATACACTGTGGAACAGAGACATCTCTGACTCTGAAGGTAGCTTCTGTGAAGGACAAAGGCAAATTTCTTTCTTTCTTTCTTTCTTTCTTTCTTTCTTTCTTTCTTTCTTT